GGGACCGCGCTGCCGGGCTTTCCTGCCGCCTCTCCGGTTTTCCCGTGCGGAGCAGCCCCGCCACCATGTCCGTCAGCAGCCACGAGAACCGAAAATCCCGCTCCAGCTCCGGTTCCATGAACATCCACCTCTTCCACAAGCCGGGCCACGCCGACAGCCTCCTCACCCACCTCAACCTGCTCCGCAAGCGGCACCTCTTCACCGACGTGGTGCTGCGAGCGGGGAACCGGGCCTTCCACTGCCACCGGGCCGTCCTGGCCTCCTGCAGCCGCTACTTCGACGCCATGTTCAGCGGGGGCCTGAAAGAGAGCAGGGACGCCGAGGTCAACTTCCACGACTCCCTCCATCCCGAGGTGCTGGAGCTGCTGCTGGACTACGCATACTCGGCCCGGGTGCTGATTAACGAGGAGAACGCGGAGTCCTTGCTGGAGGCCGGGGACATGTTGCAGTTTCAGGACATTCGGGATGCTTCGGCCGACTTTCTGGAGAAGAATCTCTACCCTGGGAACTGCTTGAACATGCTGCTGCTGTCCGATGCCCACTGCTGCGAGCGGCTCTTGGAGCTGTCCTGGAGGATGGCGTTGGCCAACTTCACCTCGCTCTGCAAGACCGAAGACTTCCTCCGACTGCCCAAAGACAAGCTGCTGGAGCTGGTGGAGAGCGAGGAGCTGGAGGTAGAGGATGAGACGTTGGTCTACGAAGCTGTTATAGGTTGGATCCGGTACGATTTGCCCCGACGCCATGAAGTTCTGCCGGAGTTGCTGCGCTCCGTCCGCCTGGCCCTTCTGCCCGAGTCCTACCTGCGGAAGCAAGTGGCCTGCGAGAAGCTGGTGACCAGCCACAAGCTGGGGGAGGAGATCGTGGCCGACGCCGTACGGTGCAAAATGAAGATCCTGCAAAACGATGGGCTGGTGACAGGGTGCTGTGCCCGACCCCGCAAGGTCAGCCAGGCCCTGCTGCTGCTCGGTGGCCAAACCTTCATGTGCGACAAGATTTACATGCTGGATCATAAAACCAGCGAGATCATTCCGCGTGCTGACATCCCCAGCCCTCGTAAAGAGTGCAGTGCCTGCGCCATCGGGTGCAAAGTGTACATCACCGGTGGCAAAGGCTCCGAGAACGGCGCTTCCAAAGACGTCTGGGTTTACGACACCCTCCACGACGAGTGGGCGAAAGCCGCTCCCATGCTGGTGGCGCGGTTCGGCCACGGCTCCGCTGAGCTGGACCACTGTCTGTACGTGGTGGGGGGTCACACAGCAGTGAGCGGCGCCTTCCCGGCCTCTCCCTCCGTCTCTCTCAAGCAAGTCGAACACTACGACCCGGCGCTTCCAAAGACGTCTGGGTTTACGACACCCTCCACGACGAGTGGGCGAAAGCCGCTCCCATGCTGGTGGCGCGGTTCGGCCACGGCTCCGCTGAGCTGGACCACTGTCTGTACGTGGTGGGGGGTCACACAGCAGTGAGCGGCGCCTTCCCGGCCTCTCCCTCCGTCTCTCTCAAGCAAGTCGAACACTACGACCCGCAGCTGGACAAATGGTCCTTGGTGGCTCCTCTCCGAGAAGGTGTAAGCAACGCCGCCGTGGTGGGAGCCAAGATGAAGCTGTTTGTTTTCGGTGGCACCAGCGCCAACCAGGAGAAGCTGCCCAAGGTGCAGTGCTTCGACCCCTGCCAGAACCGCTGGACGGTGCCCGCCAGCTGCCCCCAGCCCTGGCGGCACACGGCCGCCGCCGTGGTGGGCAGCCACATCATCGTCATCGGGGGGGACACGGAGTTCTCCGCCAGCTCCGCTTACCGCTTCCACAGCGACACCTACCAGTGGTCCAAATTCGGGGACGTCACCGCTAAGCGCATCAGCTGCCGGGCCGTTACGTCGGGTAACAGACTGTACGTGGTGGGGGGCTACTGTGGGGCTCAGCGCTGCAAAACGCTGGACTGTTACGACCCATCGTCCGACACCTGGAGCAGCGTCACGACAGTGCCTTACTCCCTCATCCCCACCGCCTTCGTCAGCACCTGGAAGTACCTGTCTGCCTGAGTCACGGTGTGGCGAAGAACCTGGAAGGTAAATGGTTGCGGATCAACCCAGAGCTCCTCTGTAGAACTTTGCGCTGCACCAGGGTTAAGCCCCGAGGGGCAGATGCCCGTGGATCCGGACTGGAGCTGTCCTACCCTTGTGCAAACATCAGCTCCGGACGCTTCCAGGCTGGTAGTTTGGGCTCTAAAACCCTGCAGGAGACAGAATGTCTCTTTAGGTGCCGAAACGCTGCGGGGAGAAGATTAGTATAAATAACAAGACCCTAAACCTGGCATCCTAGCCCTTCCACTGAGTCTTGGCCTATGCAAGGATTTTGGGGAATGCTGTCAGCGAGGAGGATTGGGTGTCGTCCCTGGTACAGAAGGCTCGTCGAGTCGATCATTATATGAACAGGCAGCCCGTCTGCGGGAGCTGGGGGAGACCGTGCGGTGCCGCGGGGGACCGGCTGCTGCTTTTAGCGCAGCCGCCTCCTCCTGGTGCCACGGTTAATCTGGTAGTGGCACCCAAACGTCTTGTGGGACGTGAGGGCTGCGAGCGGGTGCCAGAACAAGATTATAGCTGGGATTTAGTCCCAGAATGGTTGGTAATTGCATTTGTAAGACAAGCCCTGTCTACATATAAACACAGGGTTTCTCTGCTTCTGATTATTCTCTGGTGTCCCTTTTGTGCCATTTCTTTCCTGCCACGCAGCGATTACCTTTTTAAAAATTTGCAACTGGAATTAAACCTTTCTAAAGGCTCTTGGCAGAAAAGGTGCCAGTGAATCACAGATCCCCGCAGGTTTTTTTCCTTTTTCCCCTTGCGAGAGCTGTACCACCCAAACAAACTCGTAATAAAAGGTCCTGCGACACCTATAGAAAATTCCAGGATGCAGAGGGAAATCGGCAGCCGTCACTCCACGATAGCCGCGTTTGAGGTTTTGAGGCCCGGGGAGCGGCGTCAGGTTTGCTGCGTGCACACTGGTCTCACACTACTCTTCTGCACCACAGGCTTCGCACCCGGTTTTGCCATCCTTCACCGAGGATCCAGGCAGAAGACACGGGCGGTGGGAGGAGGTGCTCCTAGCAAGTCTGTGAACGCTCCTGGGTCTCGTCAGCAGGGCTGAAGGTAACGCAGCTTTGGCTTTGATCCGCTTCCGTACATCCCCTTCGTTCAGGCCAGGGAGGTGACAAGCGCGGAGGGACCTCCTTGGGCCGGCGGCTTGCGCTGTCCCTCGAGACGGCAAAAGCTTTCTCCTAACTCGCGTGATCTCGGAGCAGGAACCAGAGGAATATTTTTTACTTCTTTCATTCAATATTTTGTTTAAGTAATATTTACTAGAATGGACAAAAGAAGCTCTTAAGTAACTGGCAGCGGGCTCTGGACTGCGCTGCTGGCTGCCGTGACTTGGAATGCAGGCAGCACCAGAGGCATGGTTAGTGTCTTAAGATATAAGGTTAAGCGTCTTAACATGCGACAGTACCTTACCCCCGGGCTGGTTCTGTACATTTATTTCTTTTTTTTATAGAGCAGTTGTGTGTGTTTATTACTCGGCCTGGAGCTGCTTCAATAAATCTGAATAAAATCCACCGTGTCCCTTGCCTGTTCTGTATGCTTAAGGTGCAGGTTTTCCCAGCCCACACTTGAGAGAACGTTTAGCAAAATAGCGAAGAGCATTCCCTGCTTAAGAGCCCAAACCTTCATCCGCCGGAGAGGGCTCAGATCTTCCTACATCTTTGTAACGCGGGACTTGGGCAGGCTCAGGTCCTGTGCTGCCTTCCAGCTTTGCAGGACACACAAATCTGTTTAAAACTCCAAAGACGAAGCTATTCTCTGCCCTCGCCTGGTCATCCTCTGCGGAGCCGGGTTTCCTCGCTGCCAAAAAGACCCAAATAGGGAGGGAAGCGCTGCCCCGTCTCTCCCCGA